TTATTTGAAAAGCAAAGTGACAGAGAGATCTTCCAACTGCTGGTTTACCCCATAATTGTCCACAATAACCAGGGATACACCAGGATGAAGCCAGGAGCTTGAACTCTACCTGGGTTTTCCAAGCACTTGAGCCATCCTCCATGCTGCCTCCTAGGACACATCAGCAGGAAGCTGGATGGAATAAGCAGCAGCAAGGACTTGAATTGGCACTCTGATATGGGATGCAGGTGTCCCAATGGCCGCTTAATGTGCTGTGCCACAATTCCCTCCCCAATAATAATTTTTTTAAAGTGCCAAGCATTATGCAAGGCTGTACAGTAGCAAACAATATTCTTTAATTTGCTTAGCACAGAAATATTGACAATTACACTATGGCAAATCTTTTTTTTTTTTTTTTAAGATTTATTTATTTAATTTGAAAGGCAGAGAGAGTGAGTCAGAGGCAGAGAGATAAAGACAGGTCTTCCACGTAGGTGCAGGGGCCCATGGAACTTGGGCCATCTTCTACTGCTTTCCCAGGACTATGACAAATCTTAATGAAATTTCCTACAGTAATATACAGATAACTTGCTCACTGAAGTAAATTTTCTTTGGAGTTGAACCTGATTATGTACTTCTGGTTGACATTCAACTTCTGGATGTCCTAGGGCCGGCTCTGTGGCACAGCGGGTTAAGCTGCTGCCCACAGTGCTGGCATACCATATGAGTGCTGGTTTGAGTCCTGGCTGCTCCACTTGTGATCCAGCTCCCTGCTAATGAGCCTGGGAAAGCAGTGGAAGATGGCCAAAGTGCTTGGGCCTCACCACCCACATGGGAGACTGGGATGGAGCTCCTGCATGGCCCAGCCCTGGCCACTGTGGCCATTTGGGGAGTGAACCAGTGGATGGAAGACTTCTCTCTCTCTGCCTCTGCCACTTTCTCTCTGTAACTCTGCCTTTCAAATAAATAAATCTTAAAAATAAACAAAGACCAAGTATCTGAAATCTCACAGCCATCTAAGTTATTACTCAGATTAAAAGTCAAATGAAGAAATATTAACAGAGTGCCTATTTAACATGTACATTGAACTACGTGTCATGGAAAATACGTATGATAATAATGACTTCAAAAATGCCAAGAACTTCGTCAGTGTAAAGTCTCTTTCTTTTCAGTTTTAATGTTAGAACAAACTGTAATTCATACCCTGAAAAACTTACTGCAATATTTTATTAAGAGATAAAAACCAAATGAATCCAAGAATTTCAAAAAATGCCTATGACTAGATTGACATACAGTTTATAAAAAACAAACTACCACCTATTCCTCAAATAAATCATTAGAAACAAATTTTGAAAATAGAAGTTGTAAAATTTTGAATGATTCAACAGAAAACTAAAAACAGTGGAATAAACAAATGAATGTAAAATTATATTTAAGTACAATGTCCAAACAAAAGTTCTTTCAAGGAAACTAGTTTACATCATCTAACCTACTTGAATAAGTATATCCTAAGATATCAAAATGATGCAGTAATGAAGACATGGACTATAAGATTAAATATGGCTCCACTTGGAGATCTTAACAGTCTGGTTCCAGTAAGTGATTTTGAAACTAATGGGCAAGGACTCAGCAAAACAGCGTGTTAAAAATGGAAATCCCTTGGAACCAGTTCCAGATTTTAAGTTTGTAAGATCTATAGCAGGACCTAGGAATCTACAAATTTTAACAAGCATTCAGTGATTCTATTCCAAGAGCCTGAAATGATACTTTAAAGAATCCTGCAGTGTTTTAACTCAACTAAGATCTTCCATTTATCAATAAGATAAGCTAAACAGGGCAAGGCTGAGAGTCCCCCATTCCTGCCAGGCTGATGGATTCCCACTCTGGGCCTCTGCTGCTTCATAGGTTTCTCCCACAAGCTTGGTTTTATCTACTTTCTAAGCCAACTCCTGTGATAAGGCATTTTATGCCCATCTGGACTCACCCTGGGGTTGTGCCATCAATTTTTCTAGCAAAGTCATTCCTAAGTAACCGGGGGAATCTTTTCCAGGATCCTCCTTGGCTAACAAAATCTTTTGGTGATCAAATCCCATATATGAAAGATTATGGTATTTGCATATAACATACATACATCCTACCATATACTTTAATCATATCTAGATTACTTATAATACTAACCAATGCCATGTAAACAACCATCATATTTCATTATTTAGGAGGTGACAAGGGGGAAAAGTCTGCACATGTTTAGTACAGATGTAATTTTTTCTTGAATATTTTCAACCAGTGGTTGAATCTGAGAATGCAGAACCACAGAGAGCTGACTGTATAACTTCTTCCACACTGGAATTTACAGCCCCATGAGGAGAAACTGAGCTTTTGCTTTTGTATCCCCTTTTCAGTAAGACATAGGAATATTGTATTCTCTTTGAATGCTTTCAATATGTAAGCAATATCTTCCTTTTGTGCAAGTACTTAGCACAGTGTAAGGCATAGACTGAGTCTTGAATAAATGGCAACTGCTTCACAGTTAAATGTAAGAACAATTTAGTGGGTCACAAATAACAGTAAAGAAAACAAGTTATATATATATATATGTTGTGATGTATGTTTTTCTTATTGTGGGTTGCAGTAAAAAAAAATATGAAAGTCACCACTTCTTAAATATTAAGCTAAAGTTCTCCAATCCACCTTAAACATTCAGCAAGCAAAGATACTTTCTCTTTCGATTAACAAGCATCTGGCCAGTGCTGCAGTTCACTAGGCTAATCCTCCGCCTTGCGGCGCCGGCACACCGGGATCTAGTCCCTGTCAGGGCGCCAGATTCTGTCCCGGTTGTCCCTCTTCCAGGCCAGCTCTCTGCTGTGGCCAGGGAGTGCAATGGAGGATGGCCCGAGTGCTTGGGCCCTGCACCCCATGGGAGACCAGGAGAAGTACCTGGCTCCTGCCATCGGATCAGCGCAGCGCACCGGCCGCGGCGGCCATTGGAGGGTGAACCAACGGCAAAGGAAGACCTTTCTCTCTGTCTCTGTCTCTCTCTCTCTCACTGTCCACTCTGCCTGTCAAAAAAAAAACAAAAACAAAAACAAAAAACAAACAAACAAAAAAACACAAGCATCTATCCAGTTTCCAATTCTCCAATCTTCAAAGGTAACACTGAGTTCGTTTATTCATTCCTCCCTTCCTTAGGCTTAACTCAAATGAAGAGGCGGCAGTAAGTCCCAGGTCTAGCGAGCACTTTTCACAGTGTACACATTCACTGGAGTCTGTGCTCCTTCAGATTAGTCAGCTGAGTGTTATGATGCACTTCAGATGAGCTCTTAGAGCACCTGTCTCTCAACTCAAGTCCATCTGAAATTCTAGACATCCCAAATAAGGCCTTGAAATGTTCCCAACCTGCTTCATCCACACAAGGCTTAGGATTAACGTGTGCAGTTTTCAAGATCACCTTCCTTCCTCACCTTGGAACCAGATTCACTGTTTCTACCACAAAACTACTTTCTGGTAATCCTTGACACTTTCTACAGATTTTTAAATTATAATATGTTTCAAATAGGTCTTTATTTTTCTCTTCCACTACTATCCACATTAACAGTTATGCCCTTTTCTAGGTTTTCTATCTTGCATCTTCTCAATCAGCAAGCAACACATGAATGCTTATCTAGGCCTAATAATGCATTAACTATGATCTGTCACGTGTCTAATACAGCTTTCTTTTTTGCTGTTACCAACAACACTCTGATTAGTTTCAACTCCAACACCACTTCCTCCAATAACTTCCACTGCGATCAGTCTTCCACTCTCCAAACTTCATTCACCCTCTATACATACCTTGACATCACCTATGGCTCTGCAATATTAGAATTATCTATGAACCTGCTGCCTGTACCAGTCTCTACACTGCCTCTAACTCCTATGTGTGTATACCTCCAACTGCCCACCAAAGAGCACTCCACACAGTAGGGCCCTTCTGCTGGCTTACTGAATGGTACTGAAAGGTGAACAGCTTAATCCAGCAGATATAAAAATAGGTTAGGAGATGTTTCTAATTCTGCTCATCCTTCATATTCCCAGTTTGCTCAACTGTAAAGTATCTTAAAATATATGCATAACGCTGCAAAAGACATATAATGGAAGAACCATGAGCAAGTGGCAATAAAGAATGTAGAAGTTAACACACAGAAGGAAAAGGCATGTGATGCCCTCTGCATTTCCACACGTGGTCCAGTGAGTTGGTGCCTGAAACCCTCTCTCAGCCTTCACCATTCTGCCCTGTCATCCCCTTTTACTCTATTTCAAAAACCTCCCGCGGCACGGAGGAACCGCAGAGCACTTCGCTGAACTTGCCTCAGTCCTTGCTCATTGAGTCACATCCCACCCCCACACCCCCCGCCATCCCCCTACCAGTGTATATTAGGTAACCGACTCCCGTTCCGGCCTCCACAGGCCACACTCCCCAGAACCAGAGTGGGCAACCATTTCCCTTCAACAGTCCCAACTAAAATGGAAGTGCGTCTGGACCTGGACACCCTTAATCCCCTGTAAGCCTCTGAGTTTTCTAGGTCACCAGAGTTCTTCTACTAGCTACTGTCTCGACGTGACTTGAGATAGCCATCTGTCTTTCCACAACTTTCCAACACTACCTCCAGGTCCCATTACCAAGCTCCACATGCAGCCTACCCCGTAGGCCTCAAGCAAGGATGGGCCGCAGTTCCTGCGGTCAAGGCTCCTAGAGACGTCTAGAGCTCTGGGCACTTAGACTTAATTGTACCCCGAGTGCTTCTAACTACTTTTCCTCGAAACTGGGCTTCCCCTCGTGTCCATACTTCGCGAGTTTCCCCCATTCTCACCCACTACCTCCTCCACTCTGGGGGATCTGCGTCTTGACTCCCCAGAACCTCTCTCTCTCTCTCTCCTTTTCCCAGAGGGGTTCAGCCTTCCGTCGCTCGAGGGTCTCCACGCCGGCGGCCCAGGACCGGCCCCCATCCCCTACTCTCCCCCGCCGCTCCTCCCCTACTCACTTTGGGCTTCTCGGGCAGTTTCTTCCGGTTCTTCTTCTTCTGCTCCTCGCCTTTGAGATTCTTCAGCAAGGCTAGGTCGTCAGGGGCCGAGGCTGGCGAGGCCGCCACCTCCTCCCGCTTGCGGGGCGGGCTCCTCCGTTTCTTGCGGGCGCCGGCGCAAGCTGCGGCCCAACCGTAGCCCAGCAGGAAGAGCAGCAGCAGCCCGAGCGCGCCCGTGCCCACCAGGATCACCCAGCCCGGGTACCGCTTCGGCTCCAGGCCCAGGTCGAGGCCCAGCTCGGTGCGCAGAAAGCCTAGGACGGCCGAGAGCATTTCCCGCAGCCGGGCCGAGCCCTCCTCGGCCTGCTGGGCCAGCTCGTCCTGCCAGCTCCGTGCAGCCATCTTCCCTCCCGGCAGAGGGACTTGCAGGATGACGCTGGGGCGTAGGAGACGCCTTGGAAGTCAGGGGAGGGGAGGAGGGCCGGGCCGGAGAGCCTCAGGCCGAACGCATCGCGGCCGCTCCTCGTGCCGGAGCCGGGGATCGGCCGCTGCCGCCGCGGCGAGGGCAGAGAGGGCTCCCAGGTTTCCCCTAGTCAGCCTCACTCCGCCGCCGCCAGGAGGAGAGGGGCAGGCGGGAGCGAGCGTCTCCAGTGCCGGCCGCTAAGCGGCGTCTCGGCGCCAGCGCCAGGCCCCGCTGTCCTCCCTCGGCGGAACAATGGCGGCTGCGGCCGCGATCCACGCCGCGCGCGGGCACCGCCGCAGGTCACGTGAGGCTCGGGGGCGGGGCGTAGGGGTCACGTGGGCGGGGCCGGAGCCGGTGCAGCGAAGGCACGGCGGTTGCGGTTGGCTGTGGCCCACTTCGGGCCTGGTTGGGGCGCGGAGCTTGGGGCTGGGTGACTCTGGACTGGGGGCTGGGAGGGCTTAGCCGGGGGAGGTCTCCCCCGGGTGGCGGGTGCGTCGGAGCTAGGAGACGTGGCGTTCTGAATGAGTGCAGGGGAGGGGCCCGCGTGGAAGCGGGGCGGGGAAAAGGGTGAGGAGCGGGGAGCCGGGTCGGGGGGTCTCGGGCAGAGTCGCCGGGGTAGCCGTGGGGCTTTTCGTTCTTTTATTCTGGAGTGGTGTTGGCGTGAAAGAGGCTTTTTTCCCGCGGTAGGCTCGACGCTGCCCGAGCAGACTCGGCGGAGCCGGAGGCCGGGCGCTGTTCTTGCGAGGCCTGCGTTTAACAGGGTGTTTCCCTCACGCGCGCGCCAGCCTGGCTGGGCGCCTTCGCGTCGTGCGGCGCCTTCGCTTTGGCCCTCGCTGTGGTTCGTCCTGAGAATTCAGAAGTGGAAAGTGCCGTGGGCGGCCTCGCTCTTTTCTGCTAATTTGTAGCTTTTGTGAGAAGAGGGAACACATAAGATTGTGTTTACTTGTCGAGGTCTATTTCTCGTTGCGTTTTAAGCCTTTACACCCCTAGAAGGATACAAAAAGATTCTACTTTTATGTGCTGTGTTGACCATTTCTAGGACATAGCATTAGAAGGAAACGAATTACTTTTCTAGGTTTTTAAGGACCAAAAAAGAAGAAAAAAAGACGTTTGGGGGCGGCCTTAGGGTTTTGAAATTCCACTTTACTATAAGGAGGCAGTGTTTTATCATTAAAAGATAATTAGCTTGTAATCAAGTGTCTTAAGTGAGCTAAATACAGGCTTTCTCAAAGAATAGCACAGGGGTATTATTAATAAGTCCTGTGGGCTAAAAATGTATGAAGGGGTATTTTGACCTACTTTGCAAAGGTGTTGTAATGCATGTTGGGATTAATGGGTGTATGACCATTTTGTAGATAATAAATGGAACCTGCTCTTTCTAAGCTTTATACTAACTTCTAATTAAAGACTTCAAGTTACTAGACCAAGAACTTAGATGTTATTGGCATCTGCTTTAACTCTAAAAATTTCCAAATTCCATTTATTTTTGTGAAGATTTATAATCCCACATACCTATTTTGGTTCCAGGGACAGGAAGGAAGGGGATTTTCTTAAGACGCTCCACTGACCATTCTAGATTAATATCCTGTGGATTTATAACTTTATTACACTAGTAAGATGGGTTATGCCGGTCCCTTTGACAGCCTAGTAAGTATTGATTTGCTCAAGTCATTATCACCTTTCTTCTTTGTGACTGCCCTTTAATATTTTTTTAAGATTGATTTATCTGTTTGGAAGGCAAAGGTAGATTTTCCATCTGCTGGTTCACTCCCCAGATGACCACAAGGTCTGGGGCTGCGACGCTGAAGCCGGAAGCCAGGAGCTTTTTCCAGGTCTCCCAAGTACTTACATCTTCTGGTGCTTTCCCAGGCTGGTTAGTAGGGAGCTGGATCAGAAGTGGAGCAGCTGGGACTGCTGGCGGATGCTTCACCTTCTATGCCATAGCACCCGCTCCTGCCCTTTAGTATTAAAAATAAAACAATTGTTTTCTGTTACTTGGTATTACAGATATGCTCTTTTTAAAAAAGATTGATTTAGGGGCCGGCACTGTGGCGCAGCGGTGAACACCCTGGCCTGAACCACTGGCATCCCTTATGGACGCTGGTTCTAGTCCCAGTTGCTCCACTTCCAATCCAGCTCTCTGCTATGGCCTGGGAAAGCAGTGGAAGATGGCCCAAGCCCTTGGGTCCCTGCACCCGCGCGGGAGACCTGGAGGAAGTTCCTGGCTTCAGATCAGCGCAGCTCCACCCATTGTGGCCAATTGGAGTGAACCATTGGATGGAAGACCTCTCTCTCTCTCTCCTTTCTCTGTGTAACTCTGACTTTCAAATAAATAAATAAATCTTAAAAAAAAAAAAGGGAGATTGATTTGTTTATTTGAAAGTAAGAGTTAGAGGAAGAGAAGCAGAGAAAGAGGTCTTCCATCTATTGGTTCATTTCCCAAATGGCTGCAATGGCCTGGGCTGGGCCAGGCCTAAGCCAAGAGCCTGGAACGCCATCCAGATCTTCCACATGGGTGCATGGGAGGGACCCAAGTACTTGGGCCATCCTTCGCTGCTTTCCCAGGCGATTATCAGGGAGCTAGATTGGAAGTGGAGCAGCCAGAACTCTAACCATTTCCCATATGGAATACAAGCATCACAGGCGGAGACTTAGCCCACTGAACCACAATGTTGGCCCTAAGATACACTGTTGTTTTTTTTTTTTTAACATATATTTCCATGTATTTATATTTAAAAACAAAAATTAGACCATATGCTATTTACCGCTTTGCTCTTGTTGTCTTGAGCATTCATTTCATTCAATATAACCTATTTGATAAAGCCAACTAGGAACACACCTGTAGTTCCACAAATTAGGTTAATTTGCATCTGGGTGCTTAGAAAAACTCAGCAGTGCTGTATGTAAAAGACCTAATATGCAGTCTGGTTTGAGTGGACTAAGAATCCTAATTCTTTGTGAATGACAAAGTTAAGATAAAATGTAAAATGTTGTGTCTGAAACCCTTGCCCAAAGCTTTGCACCTGGATTGGAAACAAGGGCTGCTTTTTCTTTTTTTTAAAGATTTATTTATTTGAAAGAGTTACACAGAGAGAGAAGGAGAGGCAAGAGAGAGAGAGAGAAGTCTTCTATCTGATGGTTCACTCCCCAATTGGCTGCCAGGTGGAGCTGCATTGATCTAAAGCCAGGAGCCAGGAGCTTTTTCCAGGTCTCCCACACAGGTGCAGAGGCCCAATGACTTGGGCCATGTTCTACTGCTTTCTCAGGCCATAGTAGAGAGCCAGATTGGAAGTGGAGCAACTGGGACTTGAACCAGCGCCCATATGGGATGGCACTGCAGGCGGCGGCCCCAAAGGGCTGCTTTTTCTAGGAGTGACCCATTCAATGGAATACCACTGAGAACTCAAAAGGAATGAACTGTAAATACATGTAGTGAATTTGAATGAGTCTCAATATAATTATGTTGAGTGAAAGAAGCCAGACAAAAAAAGAATGTATACCATCTGACTCATTACATAAAACTAGGCAAGCTAATCTACAGTGACAGAAAGCAAATTAGCAGTTATTTGGTTTTGTGGGGGAGGAGCAAGGAGAGGTGGGAGGGAGAGATTACACAGGAATACCAGGAAGGTTTCAGGAGTATTGAGGTGGTGCTGGGCTTACAGGTGTATATGTACTTCAGAATTTACCAAATTGTATACTTTATTGTAGTTTATTTTAATTTTATCTCAAAGTTTTAAAAAAAGTGACTCGGATAGCTCCAAGCAAGAATGGGATGTGCCATTCCCAAAGGATTTTGTGCAAAGGTTTTGTCAATCTATGATTCCAAAGGACAGGTGTTCACAACATTATTTCCTTGATGTTAATTAATAAAAGGAGTTTATTTTTTACAGATTTGCATAGTAAACATTTATTTATAGTATTTTTTTGAAAGGCGTGGAACCGCTAGTTCACTTGCAAAATACGACAGCTGGGACTGGGCCAGATTGAAGCCAGAAGCCTAGAACTTAATCCCACATGGGTGGCAGGGACACAAGAACTTGAGCTGCCTCCAAGGTGTGTATTAGCAAAGCTGGATTTGGTAGTGGAGCTGGGACTCAATCCCAGGCCCTTTGGTATGGAATGCAGGTATCCCAGATGGCATCTTAACCTCTGTGGGAAATGTATACCCAGGTTCGGTATTTCATTTTGCCATTAAATGTAGTTTTGTCCTGACCATGCTTATAAAGCAATCTTTTTTTTTTTTTTTTTTTTTTTTTTTTTTTGACAGGCAAAGTGGACAGTGAGAGAGAGAGAGAAAGGTCCTCCTTTTCCGTTGGTTCACCCCCAATGCCTGCTGTGGCCGGCGTACTGCTCTGATCCGAAGCCAGGAGCCAGGTGCTTCTCCTGGTCTCCCATGCAGGTGCAGGGCCCAAGGACTTGGGCCATCTTCCACTGCTTTCCCAGGCCACAGCAGAGAGCTAGATCGGAAGTGGAGCAACCGGGACAGAATCCGGTGCCCTGACCGGGACCAGAACCCGGGCGCCAGCGCCACAGGCGGAGGATTAGCCTATTGAGCTAATAGAGAGGTAAAGATAGAGAGAAAGGTCTTCCATCGGCTGGTTCACTCTGCAGATGGCTGCAATGGCTGGAGCTGTGTCGATCAGGAGCCAGGTGCCTCCTTCGGGTCTCCCACGTGGGTATAGGAGCCCAAGGACTTGGGCCATCTTCCACTGCTTTCCCAGGCCACAGCAGAGAGCTGGATCGGAACTGGAACAACTGGGACTAGAACCGGCACCCATATGGGATGCCGGCGCTTCAGGCCAGGGTGTTAACCTGCTGTGCTACATCGCCGGCCCCTTATAATACAATCTTCATGAATACTCAAAACCCCTTAGGATAGAATCCTGGTGCTATAATTGAGCCATAGCCCACACTACTGTATAAGACATTCTCAGTTTGAAAATTTTTTTTTAAAGATAGTTTATTTGAAAGGCAGAGTTAGAGGCAGAAGAAGAGAGAGGTCTTCCATCCTCTGGTTCACTCCCCGAATGGCCACAACAGCTGGAGCTGGGCCGAACTGAAGCCAGGAACCAGGAGCTTCTTCTGGGTCTCCCACACTGGTGCAGGGGCCAAGCACTTAGGCCATAGCAGAGAGTTGGAGTGGAAGTGGAGTAACCGATTCTCAGATGGACATCAGCATTGCAGGCAGCAGCTTTCACAGAGCCAGCCGCAGTTTGGAAGTTTTAAGGGACCTGCAGAAGTGCTACTTTCTCATGTTATAGGCAGGAGGGTGAAGAGTCAGAGTGGC